CATAGACATGGGACATTTTATTTTTCAAGGAACAAACTAACCAACAAGGATGTAAAAGATTTGTGCACTGAAAAATACAAAACTTTGGTAAAAGAAATTAAAGAAAACACAAGTGGAAAAACATCTAGTGTTCACTACTGGAAGACTTATTAACATTGTTAAGATGTCCATAACTCCACAAAGTCATCCACAGGTTCAATGCACTCCCAATGGTACTTTGCAGAAACTGAAAAATCTATCTTAAAATTCATATAAAATCGCAAAGGTCCAAACTATTTTAAAAAGTCAAACTTCAAAGGTGAAAACAATCTTGAAGAACGACAAGGCAGGGATCTCAGATTTCTTGATTTCAAAACTTAATGTAAAGCTTCTGTAGTCAAAACTGTGTGGTTCTGGCATAAAAGACATAAAGACCAATTAGATAGAACTGAGAACCCATAAATAAGACCATCATACGTCTGTGGCCAACTGATTTTTTGTTTTTATTAGTAATCTATTTATTATAAATTTTCTTAAACACTGCACTACATGCCTTACAGAATGGGTATCACTTTCAAATGGTAAAATAATTGTGTCATATATGCAGACTGAAGTAGTTTTCCTAGAAGCATCTTTATTGCAAGTATTCTTTTTATTTCCCCCAATTTTATTAAGATCTAACATATATCATTGTATGAGTTTCAGATATACAGCACAAAGGTTTGACTTACATGTATTGTGAAATGATTACGTTTGGTTAACATCCATCAACATTTGGATACAATAAAAAGAAACAGAAACTAAACTTCTTCCTTGTAATGATATACCACTCTTAACTTTCCTGTATATCATGCAGAAGTGTTATAGTTATCATGCTGTACATTCTAACTCTAGTACTAATTTATCTTATAAATGGAAGTTTGTACCTTTTTTTTTTATCTTATAAATGGAAGTTTGTATCTTCCTCCATAGTCCCCCTTCCTCCATCCTCAGTAAATACAAATCTGACGTCTTTTTCCATGATTTTTTCCCCTTAGATTCCACATGTGAGATCTGTCTTTATCGGACTTATTTACTCAGCATAATGCCTCCAGTCCATCCACATGCCTTTGACAGGATTTTCTCATTTTTTTACGACTGAATAATACTCCATTATATTTATCTACCTACCTACACATCTAGCTCACAATTTCTTTCACCATTCATCCAGCCATGAGTGTTTAGGGCTGTATTTCTATATTCTGGCTTTGTAAATAATGCTACTACATACATGGGGGTGCAAATGACTTTTCAAATTAGTGTTTTCATTTCTTTTGGATATATTTCCAGAAGTGGAACTGCTGGATATGACAGTTCCAATTTTAATCTTTTAGGGAATAATGGAACTGTTTTCCATTGTGACTATACCAATTTACAGTGCCTCTAAAAGGGCACAATGGTTCCCTTTTCTTCATATTTCACCAGTATTTATCTCTTATCTTTTTGATGATGGCCAAGTATAATACTTCATTGTGGTTCTGATTTGCAATTCCCTAACAATTAGTAATGCTGAAAATCCTTTCACGTACCTGTTGGCCAACTGATTTTTTGACAAGGATGGCAAGAACACTAAATGGTTAAAAAAATAGTCTACTCAATATATGCTGCTCGACTCACTGGATTTCCACATGAAAAAAGAGATAGGGACCCATTTCAACTTTTATTATATATAAAAATTATTTCAAAATGGACCACCGATATAAATGTAAAAACTAAAACCTTAAACACCTAGACAAAAATACAGGTGTAGATCAGATGACCTTGGACATAACAACAGATCCACATGTATAACAGCACAATCATTACTAATAAAAGAAAAAAAGATAAATTGCACTTTCTCAAGCTTAACACTTCTATACAAAAAAGGATATAATCAACAAGATCCAAAGCTAACATATAGAATGGGCAAAAACATCTGAAAACCGTATTTTTGATATGCATTTAATATTTTCTTTCCTCTCTTCCTTTAAGAGACAGAGAAGGGTAGAGGAAGGCAGAGAGAGAGAGAGCGAATCTCAAGCAAACTCCCCACTGAGCACAGAGCCTGATTTGGGACTTGATCTCACAGCCCTGAGGTGATGACCTGAGCCAAAATCAAGAGTGAGATACTTAACTGACTGAGCCACCCATGTAGCCCTAATTTTCATAATATATAAAAAATACTGCAGTTTAACCACAAAAAGACAACCAATTCAAAATGGCAAAAAACTTGGATAAACATTTCTCCAAAGAAGATATAAACTGCAAACAACTACATGAAAAGATGCCCCAAATCATTACTCATTATAGAAATACAAATCAAAAGTACGCAATTGTACTTCATACCTATTACAATGAGCATGACAACAACAACAATAACAACAAAAAACAACTATTGGCAAAGAGGGAACAGACTGAAACCCTCATATTTTGCTGGTAGAAAAGCATAAATGAGCAGGTACTGTGAAAAATAATTTGCCTATTCTTCCATAAGTTAAATAGAATTACCATGACTCACGAATTTTATTTTTAGGTACATACATACCCAAGAAAATTGAAAGCAGGTAGAGACAGATACCTTTATAATAACCACAATCATAGCATATTATTCACCATACCCAAAAGGTGGAAATGATCGAAATGTCCATCAACGGATGAATGGACAAACACATGTATATGCAACTGAGTATTATTCAGCCATAATTCTGATGGTAAAACATGGCTGAAGCTTGAGGACATTATGCTAAGTGAAATAAACCAGACACAAAAGGCCAAAATGAAGTAGAATAGGCAAGAGACAAAAAAACAGAATAGAGACTACAGAGATTGGTAAAGAGTAGCAGGGAGATGCTATTATTTAATGGTTGAATGTTTCAGTATGGGCATGATAAAAAGTTCTAGAAATGGAGAGTGATGATGGTTATACAACACTGTGAAAGTAATTAGTGAAATTGAATTATGTACTTCGAAACAGTTAAAATGGTAAATTTTATTTTATGTGTACTTTAAGACAATAAAAAAAAGTTAGACATTTTAAAAAAATACATGGGTGGGGAATACCTGATTTACCAAATCCTAACAACTGTGAGAAGTAACAGAAAAATATGAAGAAAACAGTGAAATACATTTCCCCAAAGGGGAAAAAGCAGAACAATACCTTAAGAAAACTCTAATCTGCTTTGCTACATTTGCTTCATTAGGCATCAATTGAAAATAATGATCAACTGGGAAAAAAATGCCAGGCTCAATTATCTAGCCTAAAAAGAGGAGGTTTTCTTAAGTAACTGAAACAATACATAATAAAGTTCTTGAAATAATTAATGTTAACTCTGATTCCTTTTTTTCCTTAACGTTTAGGCTCTAGTATTCTGAGTGCTAAAAAACAGGAACAGAGAGAGCCTTACTAACAGACTATTTTCAAAGTGAACAATCTATAGATAACTGAGTTGATGTGACTGAGTATGTGTTTTATGAAACAAACAACCTGCACATGGACACTATATTCCAACTATGTTTCTGAGTACTATCTTTTTTTTTAAGATTTTATTTATTTATTTGTCAGAGAGAGAGCACAAGCAGGCAGAGTGGCAGGCAGAGGCAGAAAGAGAAGCAGGCTCCCAGATGGACAAGGAGCCAGATGCGGGACTCGATCCCAGGACCCTGGGATCATGACCTGAGCGGAAGGCAGTGGCTTAACCGAGCAACCTAGGTGGCCCTGTTTCTGGGTACTTTCTGAAAGTATAAAAATGATCACCAAAACTTCTCTAACAACAACAAAACATGATAGTCCTAGTAAAGAAGACTACTAGAGTAGCTTACCTCCTGAAGTAGATCTGCCTGCTCAATTGCTTTTAGGACATTTTTCTTGGATGTTTCCTGAACTTCCCCCCCTAAAAGAAACTCATCCAAAATAAAATAAGCCTTCTCAAAATTAAAGATGATATCAAGTTCACACACCTAAAAAGCAAAAATAATAAGAATAATAATGTTAAACTGAAGGAGGCAAATTTTGCTTATCCCCTATCAGTTGGTAAAATAAAACCCAACACAAGTCAATCAATCTTAACTCCTGTAAAATAGTAATTATACCAGTGTAAGCATCACTGACTTTTCAAATTTGAAGTACCTGAAAACACAATGTATACGAGTTAAATAATATTTGATTTTGCATGTTGCCAGCAAAAATTTTCTACCTTTAAAACTAATTTTTCAGTTCTTATTTAAAAGGTAAAGGTACCTGCTATCCAAGTCTAAATTTCATACTAAACATTTCAAAACATTAAAATATCTGCAGTTGAACTCCTTTCAATTTCGGGATCTTAAATCTTATTCTTAGTACTGTAATTAAGTGACTAGGTCTCTAGGGGAATGGAATTTTACAATTAACTGACTATTCACACTTATAGGAATTTGTCATTCTTTACCTCTCAGTAAGAGTAACATTTAAATAGGATCCATAAAACAAACAATAAACTCATCATGAAGGTTAAAAAATTACTATGGCATTCAATTTCTTACAATACTACTCACACTGCCAAAATATTTGTCAAGTAATTCCACATAACGATGAATTATTTCCAGAGTAATCAGTTCATTTTCCTGATCCTCAATAGCACAGCAAAAATACAAGCTAGCATATCTGTAACAAAATATAAATGTGGGATAAAATTTTACCCTGTACTTGTGTTTTCTAAATACATTTTTATACACTATTGTGAGAATCCCCAGACTTACATATTTTTTTCTTCTCATAATGCAGATTATTTTTCTTCTAGACTAAAAAAAATAATAAATGTTCCTAAGAGAAATTCTGAAAAGTACACAAAAGGAGAAAGAAAAACATCATCCAATCACATAAAGCAGAAAGGGTACCATATTTTGCTATTCTTTCTTTCAGGTTCCTTTCTAGGAGTATTTTAAAACTCTGAGGATCCAGGTTTTTTTCTTGAGTTTACTTAATTAAAACAAAATACACTCCACGGTTAATTCAGAGGACAAGTAAGCGAAGAAGAAAATAAAGGATTTACTGAAGATATTGTCATTCGAATCATCACAATAAACCTAACCAAAGAACATGGCTTAGTTAAGTAAGGGGCCCAGGGTAAGGAATACAATCAAGATTTCACTCCAGGCCACAAGTTTTACATAAAATAATAAAAGAAGAAAGAAATTGCTGCAATGAAATAAGCACACGGTGTGGTTTTACCTACTAACCCATTACCCAGGTTAATGGCAGCTCACATTTCTGGTGCTGGCTGCTAATGCCAGAAAGTACAATACGTACTATAATTCACAAAGAACTGGTCCAGTGGATTCCTCGAAGACTAGGAATGGATGTGTCTATTTCTTCCCACTGGGACCTAGGATAACTTCACAGGCAGCTTTCGCCCCAAAGTGTTTAAGGGCAAAATTATTGGCTATAGCAACAATGGGAAGGAGATAATAGGTGGGAGAAGCAACAGACAGCAAGACAGACCTAAAAACTTGTGTGAGAGAGGGTAAGGAGACACTGTGGTAAGAGCGTTTTTAAGGTATTCTGGGCAGTTTAGAACATCACATGCATGTCCATGGCTGGACACATGCTCAGAAAAAGTCTGGACAGACACTCGGGAATATCTGAAGAAATGACCCAAAACTTCCCAAATGTGATGAAATAAATGAATTTACACATTTAAATATTCCCTATCAATTCCACACAAAAAAGTTCAAAGAGAGCTATACTGAAACAAATTATATTCAAATTGCCAAAGGACAAAAGACAATCTTGAAAACACCGAAAGGGAACAAACTCATCAAGTACATAGATCCTCGATAATATTAAGTGCTGACTGCTATTCAGAAACTCGGGAAACCAGCAGTGGTATTACATATGTAAAGTGCAAAAATCCTCAAAAACAACAACAGAAATCAACCAAGAAACTAGAGGATCCCAGCTACTAAAATCTAAAATAGAAGTGGGAATACTACTTCTAAGTTTCAGAAATAAAAAAGGAATATATCAGAACACTAAAAACAACTGAGTACCAACAAATGAGACAATCTAGACAAAAATGGAAAATCCAAAGGAATACACAAAGTTCCAAATGACTAAAAAAAGAGAAAATCTGAATAAATTTCTATCAAGTAAAGAGACTGAACTGGTAGGCAAAACCTCCCAACAATGAAACACTCATGAGCAGACTGCTTCAATGATAAATCCTATTACATTTACAGAATAATTAATACCAAGCTCTAAATTTCTCCCCGAATAGACAGGAGGAGGAATTTAACTTATTTTGGGATGTCACCATTATCATGAAAGCTAAGCCAGATAAAAGATTTCACAAGACAACTACCAATCAATATCCTTTATAAATACAAATACAAAATTCCTCAACAGAATAACAAACTGAATCCATCAACATGTTAAAAGGACTGTACATTATGACCAGGTATGGTTTCAAAAAAATTCAAGGGTGCTCAACATACAGAAGAAAAAAAATGTTACAATACATTACAGTAAAAGAATGAAAGGTATAAACCACATAATCATTTTAAGTGATGCACAAAGCAACCAAAATCCAGCACCTTTTTATGATAACAGGCAAAGGACTTGAATAGATTTTTCTCCACAGAAGATAAACAAATGACCAAAAAGTACAAGAAAATGATCGATATTGTTACTCATTAAAAAAATGCAAACTGAAACCACAACATCACTTCACACTCACCAGGATGGCTATTAACAAGGGAAAAAAGCAAATTAAGAACTGGTAAGCTTATAGAGAAATTTGATCGCCTTTTGTATTTACATATTTTTTGACGGGGGAGGGGCAGAGGGCAAAGGGAGAGGGAGTGCGCAAGAGCGAGTGAGCGAGAGAGAGAGAGAGAGAAAGAGAGAGAGAATGAATCCTTGGGGAGACTCCCTGCTAAACACATAGCCTAACATGGGTCTCCAACTGTCAACCCTGAGCTGAAATCAAGAACCTGACACTGAACCAACTAAGCCATCCAGGTACCCCAGAACTCTTGTACATTTCTACTGGGACTGTGAACTACTAGAGCCATAGCAGAAATAATCTGGCGGAACTTCATAAAGATAAACACAAAATTCCCTTACAACTCAGCAACTCCACTCCTAGCTCTATAGCCAGAAGAACTGAAAACAGGTAGTCAAGAAAATACTTGCACATGAATGTTCATAGTAGCACTATTCAATGGCCAAAATTTAGAAACAATTTAAATGTCAACCAACAAATGAATGTATAAACAATGTGGTAAATCCATGGTACGGAATATTATGCAATCATAAAAAGGAGTGAAGTATTGATATGTGTTTTGGCACAGTCAAATCTTGAAAACATTATTTTAAATGAAAAAAGTAACATGCAAAGGGCCCATATCACATGGTTCCATTTACCTGAAGTGTCCAGAAGAAGATAAATCTACATAGACAAAAGATTAGTGTCACAAGGGAAATGACGGATATAAATATGTAGTTGCTACATATATACATGAAGTTTCTTTGGTGATGATGAAATCAGAGGTGATAACAGGTAATAACTGCACAACGACATATAGTAAAAATAATGTATAATGTAAGGGCTAATGGTTTATGTGAATTTTCTATCAACCTAGGAAAACACAACGGGATACCATTTTATACCTAATAGAATGGTTGTAATAAAAAATGATAGGGAACAACATCTGTTGGCATAGTGGATAGAAACGGGAATCCTCACAACCTATTACTAGAAATGTAAAATTGTACATATACTTTGGAAAACACTTTAGCAGTTCCTCAAGAGGTTACTTTATGATCCAGAATTCTACTCCCAGGTATAAACCTAAGAGAAATTAAAAAATAGGTCTACAAAAAGTTTGTACACAAATGCTCACTTTACCTATAATAACCGTGAAGTAAAAACAACTAAAATGTCCATCAACTAATGATGGACTATCCATCATTAATGAATAAAATGTTCCCTATCCGTGTAACAGAACACATGTGATAATGAAAAGAAATGAAATGCTAATACATGCTACAGTAAGTCTTTGAAGTGTAATGCTATGTTAAAGAGGTCAGTGACACGTTTTAGGATCACATGTTTTAGGACTCCATTTACATGAAATATGTACATGTTTTAGGACTCCATTTATATGAAATTTACATGAAATATAGGCAAATCTATAATGCTGTAAGTTATTAGTTACGTAAGTCCAGGAGGATGGATTTTGGGTAGAGTGGCAGTCACCTGCTACAAGCTACATGGTTTTTTTGGGAGGGGGACTGGAAATGTTCTAAATTGATCATTCTGGATGCACAGGTCTGTGAATGTAGTAAATATATTAAAAGCCACTGTATTATACACTTTGAATGACTGAATTGTGTGATATGCTAGTTATATCTCAAAAAAATTGTTAAAGAAAAAAAAAAACAGAGCAGTAAGAAATTATCTGGTCATTTTTAACAGTGAATTTAAGTTTAATTATTAGCTTTCAAAAAATTAAATTTTAAAGCTAAAAAAAGCTAAAAAAAATTATTAGCTTTCTGTTCATATATTCAAAACACTTGATTTCTCAGTCAGCTAAATATGTACACTGCCCATGAATATAGCTAAATGTAATACCCACTGGTATATTAATAAGAATTGTTTTGTTTTTAAAGGAAATCTGTTTAGTAACATTCTTTAAGAAATTCTCAAAATGGTAATTTGGAAGTATGTTTACTTTCTAGTAAATGTAAATCCAGAGCCTCTTCTCCCCACAAAAAAAAAGCATTCAATTCTATCTTCTATCTTTGAGCAATCTTTAAGAACAGTTTCTTTAGAGATAAAGAAACAAAGGGAAAATGGTAGTGGTAGAAACAGGGAATGAAACTGAACTCTCTAGATTTTCATCTGGGTTTTTTTTTTTTTTTTTTTTTTTTTCATCTCTATTGTCCTTACTCCTTATCTTTCTTTCCCAAAACAGGGAAAATCTGCGTAAGAGATATTCAGGATAAAGAATATGGATTAGACAGAACACAATGTGTAAGTTAATGAAGATATGAAGACCACCTGTTGATATGAATAGTAAAAGATCAGAATTTTTCTGATGCTCAAAGGTAATTCTCGCTTAAGAGTCTTTCCTCTTCCAGCTGGGCTAGAGAAAACAAATCACCTGCTTATACCAACAAAAAATAGTTCATTAAATAGTAGCATAAATGAGTCTTCAACACAAAATGGGGTGAGCGGATTTTAATAGGTACACTGATTATAAATGACACAGAATTTTTCATGTGAATTTTCCCTCAATTCAAGTATCAATCACAAAAGATTACATAGTACAGCTATTAAAAGGCAGGGACAGGCTCATTCATAGGTGTAGGAACACTACTGCTTCTCCTTTCATCCATTTAACCACCCTTTTCCTTCAAATACAGGAATTTTGACTCCTGTGATTTATTCTCTTAATGGCACTTTCAAATCTTCCTCTCTAATAGGGACTCCTCCCTCTATGTATAAACAATCTTAAGGTTCTCAATCCTTTTGAAGCCGTATCTCCCAGTCTATGAGTATGGGTGGATACCACCTCTTCTTTTCTTTCATGGCAAAGCTCCCCCAAATAGTCTACACTTGCCTTTTAAATTTCTTCATTTCTTCACATTGCATTTCACTACATGGGGAGTTCTGCCTCTACTACTCTACTGAAGATGTTTTGGCAAAGGGCATTTATGAAATGCCCACTGTAAAATCTAGAGCATTATTTCTTCATTCTAATTGAACTTTATCTGCCATTTTGAGCCACATTTGAACCAGTAATCTTATTTTTAATAAATTAATTATTTTTAATAAATCTTATTTTTAAATAAATTACCTTACTGATTGAAAACTCGATAGTATATTAGAGGAACAGCCTTGCCCAAAAAGACATCTGGGTTCTAGAAGATTATCTCTAATATCTCTAATATGCAATTCCCTGTCTGATGAGAGTATCTTTGTTTACCTGGAAGCCTTGGGGATGTCACATAGTCTATGCTGAGAGTCATTTATGTGGGAATTCTGGGCCACCACTTACCACCTGAAGCTGGCCATTCAGTTACATTTATGTAACCAAGAAAACTCCAATAAAAAGTGGTCACCAAGACTCCCCTGGTTGGAATGTTTCATTTATATTTCTTGACATTTACAGCATAGACAATGTCCTAACTCCAGTGAGAGAAAACAGAAAGTTCAAGGATGGAACTCTTTCCAACTGTATACTATGCTCCTCTTTTTTTGACTTACTGTAATCTGGATCCTTTCCCCGTAGTAACCATGAATATACTATTTTTCAGTAAATTTTGTGAATTATGATAAAATTAACTTATAGTGAGCTATGAACCTACAGTAGTCTTAGGAAATCCTGACTTTATATATGGTGTCAGATCTGAGGATAATCTCGGGGAGTCTGGGACTTTACACTGATTACACTCATTGTCTGGCTCTTATTCCACTCTAGAGGTTTTTTTCTTCTACCCTTTTGCCAAATGTTTAAATGCTGCTAATTAACAATTTATATAAAAAATTTCAACAGACTTTTTAGCACACTCATTCCATCAAAAACTAAACACTGGCAAATCCAAATCACACAGGCCTCACAAACCATCTAAAAAATAAGCCAAGTTCTCTAGTTTATCATTTTTCTGCTCAGCTGAACCAGAAATCACCCCATTCCCCTCCGTCATTTATTGCCTTCCCTACTTCTACAAATAACCAAGTCTTACAAGAATTAGCTTTAGTAGAGCTTTCTTTTCCACTCCTTGAGGGCCACTATCTTTGTTCAGGACCTCATTATAATACCCTCTGTCAGATCATCCTTTAGGACTCAGTTTCAGAAGTACACAACTTCAATTCTTTTACTATTATAATGATCTTTTAAGAAATGTAACTCTGATCTCTTATGTGTAAGGTCTTTTTATCTCTATGATTAAGATGTGAGTTTTAGTGGCACACAGCTCACTCTTCAGACAAGACTCCTAATTCCTTCTTTGAATTTGAGGCTTGGTCAACAGCAAGAGTTTTCTAACTGAGAAACTCTGTGCAGAAGATAAAAGCCAATGGACAAAGGCACAGATTCCCTATTCCTGATTTTACAATTGCAGTCCCCCTTCTACTTGTTCTACTTATTAAGGTTCTATCCTAACTAGGTATTTCCCAGCTCTAAATTTCTATGATTTTTTCTATCATATTTTCTTAGTAAACACTAAAATAAACACCAAATATTAAAAAAAAAAAAGATCAAATTCATTCTGTTAGAATATTTAAACAACACTATATATTCTATAATCTCCATTTCTTTTCCTGACATCATTCCAACAAAAATCATCACCATCCATATCCAGAGTGGAATAAATGAAAGCAGAGCAGAAAATCAAACTTCTTTTTAATCCTCACGGCATCCATACTGTTAGTTCCCTGCACACTCCCCATGTAAGAAACAACTTTCTACATACAGAAACTGTCTTGTCTTTATTTGGAATTCATTAAGGTAGTTATTTATCTTTAAATTAAAGAGCTTAAAGGGAAGAGGAATGGGGAAGAAACAAAGTAAATGTGGCCCAGATATTCTATAAAAGAAATTGTATTCTTTAAGTTTCTAAGAGTCTTTAAAATAGAATTTTAAATTTTTTAAAGCTTCAGATATTAATAAAATAATGAATATTCTATTTTCCAATAATAATTAAGATAGCATTTTTTTGGGTAACTTAATTGTTAAAAGGAATCAATGAGACAGACTGTAAGATCAAATTTTAAAGAAGTTATCCTGGCCAAAACTGATAATTTATTCAAAATTCTAACACTGCTTCATTTTAATTCAAATTAATAAACCTAACTAAAAACCAGATCCTGTACACAAACGTAAGTTACGAAATAAATGTGTTTAAACAACTATATGACTGAACAGGTCTATCTATTCAAGATGCGTTTAAAATTGAACAGGACTTGAAAACTCAGACAAAAGCCTTATCAATATCAGTCATTACAGAGTCATAAGGAGAGGTGGAGTGGAGTGTGAGAATGTAGTAGTACATTCTCTTATCTATTCTTATCTAAATTAGAGAACTGATGACTTAAAATATTGACCCTAAATAACTTATAAGAAAAGGAGTTCAGTGAATTTTTCTAGAAGGTAAACATTTTAGAAGACAAAATTATTTGCAAATTTAGTTAAAACTATTCCCCTGCTTCTAACATTTAATCTGGGTAATAAAAAATGTTATTTTAAAAATACAAGTTTCTACCTAAGTAGGTTTATCAGAATTTTACTGTTTATAAATGTTCTCTCTCAAAAGACTGCGATTTCAACATTATAAATGACCTAACATTTGATTCTGCTACTTCCAAATTTCTGACAAATAAAAAATTATACCTTTTATAAACAATCTTCAGATCTCGCCACTCGAGAAAGCTGCACATTTTAGGTTTACGTGCTAAAATAGTCTGAACAATTTCCCTTGTGATTTTTTTCTTCTCTCTCTCTGATAGTGAGACATACCATTTCTGCAGTCGAAGCTTTCCCTGACGACTAAAAAGCAACATAAACTGCATCTGTTAAGATAAATAAAACCAAAGTTACATTTGGTGCTTTCATTCAATACAGTTAAGAGTACAAAATAAAAGGCCTTTGAAGAAAATCAAAATAGATAATTCTTGTAGAAAAATTTTGCCAACCTACTTTGGTGTGTAAAAAAATGAATGGAGAAAAGAAGAAAAGCACTGCCTGTTGCAGTCAACTATGCAACTGAAAAAACTATTTTCTGTTTTCTGTACATTCCATAGTCCATTTTCAACAAAAAGAGTACTCTATCCATCAATTGGCTTAGACAAATAAAGAAAAAGAGACCCAGAATTTCTGGCACTTGGGTGTTTCCATTTCCAGAAAGAATCATTTATAGTTTCACTTATAATGTTTTTTCAGTTAATGGCAGCTAGCATATTTTGAGCAAACATTAAAAATCTAAAAACAGTGAAAAAAAAAAAAAAACTCAAGTCCTATTAATACAGGATTTTCTTGAAAAGGTAATTTTTAGGTATGTATTGTCCTGTTACTTTTAAGAAAATCCAACACAAATACGAATACAATACAGAACTGATGCAATAAGAGTAAACAAGCCTTTAAAAGCGAAAAGAGGTAGATCCACAAGTATTACACAGTCTTCCTTCAAAATAATAAATAGGAGCTTGTACATTTGGAGTGGGTGTTGACATCTAGCAAATCTGTAAGCCTTTCGTTTATATTTTTATTTAGAATCTAGAAAGCATGTTATGTTCATCTTTAGCTTTTGAAGAAAAGCCCTTGTAATTCAACTGGCTGTAGAAATGCAAACAAAAGTGCCATTTCTAGAAAGATTAAAGGTAGAGTTTACATTGGCAGTCTTTTTTCTCCACTTTGCGAAATTTCCATTAATTATAAGAAAAAATTCTTTAATTTTGGTACTGCAAGTAAAATTCAAGCCTGATATCAACAATATTTTCCATTTCTTCTTAGATTTGAATAAGGGTTAATTTACAGAAAAAGACTAGAAAAAGAATAGTCAATCTGCAAAGCTACTAAGAAATTCGCAGATGTGCACATAATCCTCTTCGCGAGCGCCTCCCCAATATGACCAGCGAAATTTCATGATTCCAGAACCAAAGATAACTAGGGTTAGGACACACAACATCCATCACTGGCTTTCGCATTCCCAGGGTAACGCGGACTGAAACAGTGCTCAACACTAGTTCACCGCTCTCGACGCCCTGCTTGTTCCCCAGTACTTACTGCGGCCGCGGGCCGCGGGCTCTCTGGAGCGCGTTCTGCCGCACTGGCGGCAGTTGAGGGGAAGCCCCTGTCGCCAGGCTGAGAAAGAGAAGCCGTTTTGCAGTAGGGTGGGGAGCCAGTTAACGGAGGCAATTTTTAGGCGGCTAGGGGAAGGTGCGCCAACAGGGGCCCCCCAAGGCCCCGAGGAGAGAAGAGGCGAAGTTGTGCCAACGGTAAGGGCGCACCGCTCTACGCGAGAGAAGCACCTCCGCGGTCAAGCAACCGCTTGGAAGCATGCGCACTGACCTCACAATCCGACGAAGCCGGAATGGCAAAGGAGGCGTATGCCGGAAACAGCTTCCGCGGTAGGGCGTTGGTGGTGCTGCGCGCCTGCGCATTTCTTTCTAAGAAGCTCCCGGAAGTAATTTGTCTTAGGTAATGCAGAAGGTTTGTGTAGCTTTGCAAGTTAAGTTCCGCTTTCAATCACCGCGTAATTCTCCGTGAACAAAAAGACTAGTAATTTGTCTCCGTTGGGGCATGATACGGGTAACGGGGCTGTTACCCTGAATGAAACAACTCGGATCTTTTCATGAAGTTACTGCCGGCATTAGAAGTACCTTTTGCAAGTTTTTCTGCTACAAAACCGCCTGAAACTCAAAATGGGAAGCACCCCCCAACCGGAGTATACTGCTCTACATTTTGTCTCACACTTCTCCATGAGAATCTTCTATAGATTGCTTCGCCCGTCCTCCTGGTGACAAACTGGTGATAACCCAAACAGCCGCTCATCTCCGCGATGAATCCCATTCCTTTCTGCACTGAACACTGCCATGCTACCTTCCAACCCAACTTGGATGTGAATCCACACACTATGACTCTGTCCAAACATTGCAAAACTCTCTCTTTTTCACCCATTCACCCATTCCTGTCTGTGGCACATCAATTTCAGCATTCATTTTGTAACATAAGCCTCATACACTATTTGGAAAAAACTTAAAAAAAAAAATCAGTTGACGGACAAGGAACATAAAAGTATAGATTTGTTAAGAACTACAGTGCTCAGGGGCGCCTGGGTGGCTCAGTAGGTTAAGGTCTCTGCCTTTGGCTCAGGTCATGATCCCAGGGTCCTGGATGGAACCCCACATCGGGCTTTCTGCTCAGCAGGGAGCCTGCTTCTCTCTCTCTCTGCCTGCCTCTCTGCCTGCTTGTGATCTCTGTCTGTCAAATAAATAAACAAAATCTTAAAAAAAAAAAAAAATTTAAAAGGAAGAAGAACTATACTGCTTAGCATAGTGTCTTCTACCTAATGGGTGTTCTTTTTTCCTCCTCTTCTCCTTTTTAAATGGAAAAAAATATGATCCCTCAAGTCTAACTTCTCTTATACACTTGACTAAAGAGGAGCCTTATACACGTGAGTTTTCCCATCTGCAATACTAATTACCGATCAATGCTTCTTAAAAAAGGAAATAAAAAGTGGTCGTTGGCCCATAAACTTTTTGTTGAATATTCCAAACATAAATCATCAGAATCTTTTTCAAAACTAGAAGGTCTTTTTTCAATTGAGCATTTAATTATAATTACAGTATATTTAATATACAGTGTTGCATTAGTTTCAGGTATACTATATAGCAATTGAACAATTCTATGCAGTGGTAAATCCTCATTTATCATAAGTGTACTTATACTAAGGGAGTGAATTACAAGTAATTTTTTTTTAGGTATTTATTTTATTTTCAGTATAACAACATCGAGTGTTCTATTAGTTTCAGGTTTCAATATACTGATTTAGCCATTCTGTGCATATTTTACTTTTCATCGTAAATTCTTTAATCCCCCATCATCTATTTCATCCATCCTCCCACTGACCTCCCTTGTGAAACCATCGGTTTGTTTCTCTATAATTAAAGAGAGTGGTTCCTGGTCTCCTTCTCTATCTCTTTTCCCCTATTTTGTTCCTTAAATTTCCAATATGAGTGAAATCATACTGTATTTGTCTTACTCTTATTCACTTTGCATCCTACTGTCTATTTCCATCCTTGTTGTTGCAAATGGCAAGATTTCATTTTTGTGGCTGAATAATATTTCATTGCATATATACATCACATCTTTTTTTTTTTTAATACATCACATCTTTATCCATTCATCTGTTCATGGATATTTGGGTTCTTCCATAACTTAGCTATTATAAATAATGCTGTTATAAACATTGAAGCGCATGTATTCCTTTCAATTAGTTTTTTATATTCCTTAGCTAAACACCTAGTAATGGCATTGGTGGATCATAACGTAGTTCTACAGCTAACTTTTTGAGGACACTCCATACTGTTTTCCAGAGTGGCTGCACCAGTTTGCATTTCCACCTATAGTGAAAGAGGGTTTCTTTGTTCCTACCTCCTTGCCAATATATGCTGCTTCTTATGCTTCTGAGTTTAGCCATTCTGACAAATATGAGGTGATGCTGCACACTTTTGATTTGCATTTCCTGTTACAAGTATGATGAGCATCTTTCAATGGGTCTGTTGCCATCTGGACATGTTTTTGGAGAAATGTCTGTTCATGTCTCCTGCCCATTTTTTAATTGGATTATTTAGGTTTTGCGTGTTAAGTTATATCATTTCTTCATATATTTTGGATACTAATCCTTTATCAGATACATCATTTGCAAATATCTGCCCCATTCTGTAGGTTCCTTTTTACTTTCGTTGAATGTTTCCTTTACTGCGCAGAAGCTTTTTATCTTGATGTAGTCCTGATAGTTTATTTTTGCTTTCATTTTTCTTGTCACGGGACATACAGAAAGAAGTTGCTGTGACTGATGTCACAGAGTTTACTATCTGTGTTCTCCAATATCTACATTTATGACTCTCCTCTCACATTTAGGTCTTTCATCCATTTTGAATTTATTTTTGTGTATGGTGTAAGAAAGTGGTCCAGTTTCATTCTTCTGCATGTGGCTGTCCATTTTCCCAACACCATTTGTTGAAGAGACTGTCTTTTTTCTACTGGATATTCTTTCCTGTTTTGTTGAAGATTAATTGCCATGTAATTGTGGGTTTATTTCTGGGTTTTTTATTTTGCCCCATTGATCTATTTCTGTATTTTGTGCCAGTACTGTACTGTTTTGATTACTACAGCTTTGTAATATAACTTGAAGTCTGGAACTATGATGCCCCCAGCTATCTTTTCCTTTTTCAACATTCCTTTGTCTATTCAGGGTCATTTGTGGTTCCATGTAAATATTAGGGTTGTTTGTTTGAGCTCTGTGAAAAATGCTGGTGGTATTTTCATATGAATTGCATTTAAATGTGTAGATGGCTTTGGATAGTATAGATATTTTTAAAATATCTATTCTTCCAATCCCTGACTATGGACTTTCCATTTCTTTGTATTCTCTTCAGTTTCTTTCTTCAGCATTTCATATTTCAGAGTACAGGTCTTTCACTGTTTGGTTAGATTTATTCCTAGGTACCTTATGGGTTTTGGTGCAATTGTAAATGGAATTGTTTTAATTTTTCTTTCTGCTACTTCATTTTTAGTGTACAGAAATTCAGCAGATTTCTACACATTGATTTATTTATCCTGCGACTTTACTGAATTCATTTATTAGTCCTAGCAATTTTTTGGTGGTCTTTTGGGTTTTCTATATATATTATTTCATCTGCAGAGAGAGAGTTTAACTAATTCTTTGCTGATTTGGATGCCTTTTATTTCTTTTTGCTGTCTGATCGCCATTGCTAGGACTTCTAGTACTATGTTGAATAGCGGTGGTGAGATAGGGGGCATATTTGTTGTTTTCCTGACCTTAGGGGAAAGCTCTCTGTTTTTCCCCATTGTGGGTGATGTTAGCAGTGGGTTTTTCATAGATGGCTTTTATTATGTGGCGGTATGTCCCTCTATGCATACTTTATTGAGGTTTTTTTTTTTTTAACCACAGATGGATATTGTACTTTGTCAACTGCTTTGTCTGCATCTATTGAAATGATCACATGGCTCTTATCCTTTCTCTTATTGATGTGATGTATCACATTGATTGACTTGCGCATAAATATCCACACTTGCAACCAAGGAATGAGTCCCACTTCATCATGGTGAATGATTTTTTTTTTTTAAATGTGTTCTTGGATTTAGTTTGCTAGTACTTTATTCAGGATTTTTTAATATCCATTTTCATCAGAGATACTGACCTGCAGTCCTCTCTGTTTGTGGTGTCTTTATCTAGTTTCAGCATCCAGGTAATGCCTCATAGAATGAGTCTGGAAATTTTTCTTCCTTTTCTATTTTTCAAATAGTTTGAGAAGAATAGATATTAACTTTTCTTTAAATGTTCGATGTACTTTACCTGGGAAGCCATCTAGGGCAGGACTTTGCTGGGAGATTTTTGATTACCAATGAAATTTTTCTGCTGGTTATCAGTGTGCTCAAACTAATTCTTTCTTAATGTTTCAGTTTTGGTAGATTATATGTTTCCAGGAATTTATCCATTTCTTCTAGGTTGTCCAATTTATTGGCATATAGCTTTCTATAATTGTGTATAATTATAACATTGGCATTAACTAATTATATTTCTATGATCTGATTATTATTTCTGCCTCCTTTGTGATTTTTTTTTTTTTTTGAGTTCTTTCTCTTTTATTCTTGGTGAGTCTGGCCAGAGATTTGTTAATTTGATTGTGTTTTTTTTTTTTTTTTTCCCAAAGAACCAGTCCCTGGTTTCATTGACCCATGCTTTTTTCAGTTTCTGTATCATTTATTTTGCTCTAACATTTTTTCTTTTCCATCTGATGGTTTTGGGTTTTGTTTGCTATTCTTTTTCTAGTTCCCTTAGGTTCAAGGTCAGGTGGTTTACTTCAGACTTGCTTCTTAAGATAGGCTTGTATTGCTATATACTTATCTCTTAGGACTGCTTTTGATACATCCCAATGATTTTGGTCCATTGTATTTTCATTTTCATTTATTTCCATATACTTTTTAATTTCTTCTTTGACTTCTTGGTTTGCCCACTCATTGTTTAGTAGTATATTATTTAACCTCCACATATTTGTGATCTTTTCAGATCTTTTTATTATGGTTGACTTCAAGTTTCATAGCACTGTGCTCAGAAGAGATTCATGGTTTGATCTCAGTCTTTTTGAATTTGCTGAAGCCTGATTTGTGACTTATATGTCATCTATTATATGTCATCTATCACTTATATGTGATCTATTCTGGAGAATGTTCCATGTGCACTCGA